TTTGTTTTTTTTTGTAATCCATGATCGAATTTTATGTAATCCATGATCGAATTTTATGTAATCCATGATCGAATTTTATGTAATCCATGATTGAATTTTTTGAAAATTTGTGATTTTTTTTTTTAATCCATGATCGAATTTTTTTTTGTAATCCATGATAGAATTTTTTGAAAATTTTTGATTTTTTTTTTAATCCATGATCGATTTTTTTGAAAATTTGTTATTTTTTTTTTTAATCCATATTATTCAAAGAGAAAATGAGAGAGATGATGATTCTGATGCCACCCTATCCCAGCCATATTATTCACATATCGAGTCCCAATAGCAACAGTGTAGGGATGAGCACGAAATACTGTAAATTAAATGCTGAATGGCGGTTCATGCAGGGAAAGAACATATCAATATTCGCATATTCATTCGAAAACATGAAAATTCTTAATAGAGTACCCTCATTTTTTATTGAATTCCTAAAAAACAATATTTATAATGAATTTTAATAATTTTTTCTAATTTTTTTTAAGCTTTATTCTGACCGATTCACCCGATTCCTGATCCGGATCACCGATTCGCCGATCCGGATCGGTTTTTTGGAAGCCCGATCCGGGTCACCGATCCGTTTTTTAAACCATTGGTTTTAGCTTATCTAGGAGTGTCAGTATTGCAGATCATGATCGTATAAACCTATTTCTCTCAAAGCCCAAGTCAGAACAGATGACCCTCAAAGGCATGGTGAAAGGTACGAGAAACATGTTTGGCAGATATATCGAAAAATAGTTTTATGATAAAGGGATCCCTTTTGATGCAGCCAATTACCTATATTTTCCACTTATAATCAACGCAATCTAAAGAGGCGAGCCCGAAGTAAAACCCCCGACAGCCTATGAGCTCAGTGGACCAATATTGGATGAAGAGGTGGAAGAAGTTAGAAAGTGGATTGAAGAATATAAACAGAGTTGGCCAAGAACAGGCATTCCTCTCATGAGCGATCGTTGGTTGAATAAAGTTAGCAAAAAGGAGTTTGTCTTGGCCTATTCTCCAAAAGGTACAACTTTTTTGTCTAGCAAAGACGTTTCAGGAACGAAGAAGGATGCAAACTTCTAGGTACGACTATATGATTAGATAGTAGAGGAGGTGAGAGATAAGCATGTAGTCCAGTTTATTACGAACAATGCGCGTGCATGTGTTTCTGCGGGCAGCAAGTTGATGGATAAGAGGAAGCATCTAGTATAGACCCCGTGTGCTGCATACAACATCAATCTGATGTTAGAGGAGATCGGTGAGATCAAAATTGTGAAGGAGACTCTACTAGAAGCGAGGTTGGTGTCAAGATTTATATATAACCATTCTAAAATTTCATTTTTGTTCAGAGAACAATCTAAGAAAAAAGAGATAATTAGGCCTACCAAAACCCGTTTTGCGACAGATTACTTAGCTGTGGACTCCATTCAAGAATCTGAAGGTGCAATAAAGAGATTGTTTACCAGTGAAGAGTGGTTAAATGACCGCCTCTTGAAGTCTAGTACTGGGCTAAAAGTGGACGGCATAGTCTCAAATAGGAGGTTCTGCTCTCGATGCTCCAGTATCGTAGAGGCCACTGCCCCTTTAGTCACGGTGTTAAGAATGGTGGATGCTGACAAGAAAGCTATCGTGGGCATCATTTATGAAGGCATCGAGAGGGCCAAATCAGCTATTGGGGAGAAATGTAGTTTTGCTAGTAAAGTAATCGAGATTATAAAAAGAAGGTGGAATACCAAATTTGGACGTCCAATTCATTATGCAAGTAAATATATATTTATATCATTAGAATGTTTCATTGTAAATTATTTTTTTATGAAGTTTTAAATGACATTTATCTATCTATATATTTTACAGGTTACTACTTCAACACAAAATTTTTCTATTTGACACCTAAACATCTCCACAAGATTATGGAAAGGGTTAGATACATTATTGCCAGGTTGGAGAGAAGCCATCGAAACCAGGTACCAGCAATACAAGAGGTATTATTTATTATTTCGGTAAGAACTTGATTGAGTCGTTATATTTGTGAGGAATAATGCACTAAAACGAAATATTTTGTTTTAGCTTGCTATATATAGGGATGTTATAGGATCCTTCGGAACTAGACTTGCTAAGAATTCTTGAACTAAGATATATCCAGGTTATCCCCTAACTAATATTTTGTTCATTCATATATTTAATCTTATAAGTTGTTCTTGCCCGTACAATGCTTTTTGCATTTTAATCCAGCTAAATGGTGGGAGATATATGGTAGTGATACACCACACTTAAGAGGATAGCAATCAAGGTGCTCTCCCAAACATGTTCTGCTACTGACTGTGAGCGAAACTTGAGTACGTTCCAATAGTTGCACACTACTAGAAGGAATCGACTCGCTTCGGAGAAGCTTCATGAACTAGTCTACGTTCATTACAACTTAAACCTCTGAGAGCGACAAATAAGAAGGAAGCTTGAAGACTATGGGTCGATAGATTTGGACACAATATTTGTCACAGACACAGCAGAACAATGGGTCGTCGAAGAAGAGGAGCCAGTGTTGTACAAGAGAGCGTTCCTTGAGGCTATCGGTGAGGAAGATCTTGAAGAAGGTGATGAGCAACATGAAAGAGGAAGCAGCCCGCTAACATATCCACAATTCGTCAGAGATGTCAGTGATATTGCACCTAATGAGGGAGAGTGGGAAGGGGGTCTAAGGGAAAATTAGAAAGATGATGATTCTGAGGCCACCCAATCCCAGCCAAATTATTCACATATCGAGTCCCAACAACAAGAGGGTAGCGATGAGCATGATAGTGTAGGTGAGCATGAAGGATGGACAAGCTTCATAGATTTTGGATTAGGACCACAACAAAACACTAACACTTAGGGATTTGGGTATAGTCAGGTGCCACTAATTTGGATGATTCGTTTTAGACCGAGTCAATGAATTGTCACGTGAATTCAATCAATGGCACCAGTGTGACCAAGGTGAAGAATGACGTTGTCTGTCATTTTATTTTTAGATCGTATGTTACGAATTGTATGCTTTATTGTAGTTCAGAGTCCGCATTTCTCTTTATTTTCCATGGATTAAGTATATCATCATACATGGACTACAAGGGGATCCTGTGTTTTCCCCCTTTTTATGTGTCTAGCCTCACAATCAGGCTCCCTCTCAATCTTTCTTTGCCCAGGGTCTATCCCGAACTTTTTTTGGTTTTCACAAATAGGTTACCAAGTAAGGGCTCTCGGCTTCCATCGTGAGTTTTCTACTTCTACTTTTTTCTCAAGCTTCCAGTTTCTCAAATTTTTTTAGGAAAATATTTTTTTCATTTTCCAAACAAGGCCTTATGATTTTCTAAAATCTATTTTTCCCTTGAAATTTGAAACTAGTGCAAATCTAACAAATTCTTGAACACCTTAATATAGAGGTTCTATATAACATGTTACAAGGTGCACTGTAGATATTGAAATGTCTAGGTCTATAATTGTCGAGGTCAAGACGATCAATTCGAAGATGTTGAAATATAGAAACAAAATTTCTGATGAAACAAGAATGGAGATTAAGACATTATAATAATTTTTCATAATTAATTCAATATGCTCATTTACATTTTTATTCACAAATATACATAATGACATAGGTTTATTTGTGTCACATTTAGCTCTTAGGCAAATACCTCAATGAAGTGTGAATAAGGAATCCAAGCCAACCTACCATATGAATGATAATGATAATAAAAATATAATTCAAGGCTATGGCATATATGCATGGAAAACGTTTATACAAGGTTGAGGTCCTAAAGAATCAGATTAAGGTATACCTCAAAAATTCACTAGAAAAAGTTTTTTCAATGCTGAAAAACCTTAAAATCCGATTATCTCGCCTTTGAGATTCATAAACGTATATCTTGTACTGCATTATCTAGACCGTCAAATTTTCAAGATTTTGAAGTATTCATAGATCTACTTAGATCTACACTATTTTTGAAACTTACATTTTTATAATTTAAGATGAAAATAAATTTTCAGGTCATTTTTTATACTGAAACGACATCCTTCGATGGTATTTGAAGGTGTGCCTTACTTTGATTGTTTAGAGCATCAACCTTATACAAACTACACCACACCCTATATAGATTCTTGATTTTAATTTATTTTCAAGGGAATGCCAAGCCCTCTTGGTAGAGGTGCTTGCGAACTGCCTTAACCCTTAAAGCCAAGGTGATGATCTGTCTTTCTAGTGTCTTCTTAAGAGGCCTTTTCAATTCAAGTTTTACTTTTTTAAAATATAGTGCTCTCTTAGAGGCATAATGTATTCAAACTGTTTTTTTTTTATAGGCATGTTGACTTTTCTAATAGGCAATTAGACCTCCTAAAGGTATTCAACATTTTGTTTTCAATGGTCTATGAGACATGATATGGAAAGGAGGTAGGAAGGCTTTTTAGCATTGTCCAGATTCTCATGGATCTATTCAAGTGGAGTTTTATATGGGAAAGTATTATGTAAGAGCAATTCAAATGTCATTGGAAGATGTATTTGGTAGTAAACCAGAAAATTGACTATATATACTAAGAAGATCAGATTTCAAATCCAACAAAGTGTCTATTTTGTGGAGAAAATTGATTATATATACTAAGATGATCAGATTTCAAATCCAAAAAAGTTTCTATTTTGTGGATCGTTTGTTTCACATGTTAATAGATTTGCCAAATCTATAATAATTTTGATCTTCAAATTTTAAAGTCAGGGGTGGGAATATAGATTTAAAGTGTCCCAAGGGTTTTCGACACCTACCATGTATTTTCTTGCAGGGTTTTGAAATTGCCAAATATCGTAAAACTGCTGCTCTATGATAATTGCACCCCTTTAAGATTTGCCTTCCATTGTGCCCAATTATTTAGGGTATGTGTTTGAGGTGCTTGATAAGCCATCTTTATGGGGAGGCTTTAAATCGAAGGAATACGTTTATATAAGGTCGCAACCTTAAAAGGTGCATCTCAAAAATCCATTGGAAAATGTTGTTTTGATGTAGAAAAACCTTCTAATTGATCATCTCGATATCGATACATATGAATATATGAAAACATAAATATTTCGAGTCCCAAAAATAGTACATCTTGCCATACATTATCTAGACCGTCCATTTTCAAGATTTTCATGTATTTATAGGTCTACTTGATTTGAACTATTTTGGGAGTTTAAAATTTCATAATTAGCAATGGAAAATAGATTATAACGCCACCCTATGAAATTTTGACACCAAAATTACATTGTACAATAAAATTTGGAGGTGCACCTTATTTAGATGGTTAAAGGTCGCAACCATATACAAAACACACCCTTAATGGAAACGTGGCTCTTAATGTTTTATGCATTGACATGTGACAAGAATTAAAATCATTGGCTTTTGGGTCCTCGAAAGCTAATCCCTTTTTCTTTTATTTTTTTCTTTCGCTAAGAAAGTGAGAGATTTGAGAGGCTTACCCTTCATGTTGTATTAATATGAGAAAGAGTACAAAAAGCATTATGGATGCTCACGTACCATTTCTTGGGAGTGGTATGCGAGCTTGCTTAATGCTATTTTCCTAAGTTATTTCTCTCATCACCACTTGAACTGATTGATTTCAATTTTCTTTCGCCCTCTAATTCCTTTCTTATCAAATGAGTTACCCATATGGCGATAAGGAGAGCTACCCTCTACATTTTGTTTATGATCTTGTCAAAAAATTACACTTTGAACCAATTGGCTGAGGTCTTGGGTACATGAAGCGGCTATTGAGTGAGTACTAAATCCCCGAAACACAATACAGGGAGGCTAATGAAGTGGCTGATGCTTTAGCTAAAAGAGTGGTTTTTTGGATACTTTTGAGGCGTCTAATTTTTTGATTATGTATTTTCTTTTTTTTTATCGTTTATTAATAAATCACAGTAATCTTTTCCCAAAAAAAAAAAAGTGGTGAATAGTAGTCATGGCTCTCTCTTCGACTTCCATACTTTCCAATCACTTCATAGACACCCTTGAGGGAGAAGTATCAATCTCAAGAGGAAATTTGGGATCTATTCAACCCCATCGTCACACACTTAACTAGATGAGAATGCTCATCTATTATAAGATGTTGTGAATGCTTTTCCAAGCCCGTGAATTTCTTTTTCTGGTCCTAGAGTTCCACAAATGGTGCCTCCAAAGATAGTTCTTCCCAATCAATGATGACCATAGAGAGTCTTCCACTCTTGCCAACTCCAGTCCCAACTTAGTTAGAAGGGCTAAGTTCATTTTCCTAAATTCTTTTGATACGAAGTCCACATTCATTCTTGGGTTTAGGTCCACTTGACAAAGCTTGGGCATTCTTGGTTAGATTCCAAAGATGAACTTTTATTTTTAGTTTGATTCCAAAGCTAAACTTTAAAGGGAAAGCTTTTCATGTGAGCCACTCACATACACACACACACACATATATATATATATATATATAATACATGTGACCTCTAATCTCAACTGTCTGATTTAAGTGGACGACTGGGAAGGCTCAATGTCACAAGCTGCCACTTGAACATCTATTCTTAATCCAACAGCTCAAAGCGTTTTATTTTTAGTCTTTATTTTAACGTTATTTTGCAGTGAAATTTGGGGGATGCTTGCATTTGACAAGGGCACTCATGCAGCGAAATTAGGGGGATGCTTGCATTTGACAAGGGCACTCATGATAAAAAATAATAAAAAGTATTTCATGTGATGAAAATTTAACAAATAAAAACTTTCATGAGAAATTTGGTCATTTATATTCGTGAGAAATATTTTTTTAAGTGCGCCCTAAGAAAGAGATGAGACGTCCCAAATTTTAGCCAAAAAGGTTTTGTAACCAAAAAAAAATCAAACAGTACTTTGACATGACATCGTGACATGAACAAACTACAATTTGTGGTAGGAGTCACAATGACAGCGACTAAATGGCAATCAAACCTTTAGCCTTTTCTTAATGGAAATCCCTTGCAAAGGCAAATTACATAGAAGAGGAGTGTAGATCTTGAGCATAGAGTTCGCACTACCGGGTAAAAGTGAAGTTTGAAAAACGACAAAGCTCCAAATTGGAGCTAAAAATAGAACTTTACCAGAACTAGATCAACCCCTAGGCATGAGATGCTCTCACATTCCCTCAGGTATTTGAGAGAAATCCAAATATTTCCTCTCTCCCTCTCTTCCTCTCTCTCTCCCTTACACACAGACGCTCACACACATAAAAAGATAAGATCATTAGTAAAAATTCAAAACAAACCCCACAATAAATAGACTCAACATCAAAATCAAGAGCAAAACAGCCTTGTGAATAGGTACCCATGGCACCCTTGCACAACATCAAGCAACGGCCCAGTTTGGCACGCCTCCTCCACAGGTCGGTCCATCCACCTCTTCACCAATCCTTCAGCACTTTTCGCCACTCGGTGGTGCAGTGCTGCACCCCCCATTGGACCCACTAGGTTCAGCCTAGTCGAGGCTGAGATCATATCTCTAAGGGTCAAAAACATGTAAGCCCTTTGAGAAAAACCATGACCAAACCCTAAGACCCCACATATGACCCCAAATACTGGTGCATGATGAACCTTAATTTTATCACTCTTCAATGCCAATTCTCTCATATTTTTGAGAAATGGAATCTCTGTAAACACTGAAGCACCCACCCTTAAGAGGGCTGAACCTTGGGCAATGGATGCTCTTCTACTTTTCTCATTTGTCAGTGTGGCATTCAGTGTTCGATCAAGCTCGAACCAGGTCTCCATATTTGGAGAGATTGTTGCTTTATAAACGTAAGGGAGAAGAAGGCTGCCAGTGTTTTCTAGAATATGGGTTATGTGGGTTTCAAGGGTATCTGGATCGGAAACTAACCTTGTTTGGACTGCTGCCTCAAGGCCATAAGAATGAGCAAAACCACCTGTTGGAAGAATGGAGTCCAGAAGCTGCCACTGATTCCATTGCAGGTTGTGGTCTTCAGAAGCAGATTGCATGGTCTTGTTATCCATAGACCGATCACATTCCATCGAAAGAACTAATCAATCTGTTTACCATATGAGCGAGAACGAGAATGAGAGCGAGAGAGAGAGAGAGAGTGAGAGAGAGAGAGAGTCACATCTTGTA